GCCATGTTGACTGCCTCTAATGACCTTTAGACTAGATGATATTTAAAGGTCCCTTCCAACTCAAACCCTTCTATGATTCCATAACTCTGCTGGAGCTGCGATTACAAACAATATCCAGGTTTGCATTACCAAGAGGCAGAAGGGTATACTGAGTTATCAAGAATTCAATGGGCCAGGTTTTCTTTATCAACTACAGCCATACACTAAACAGAGGGACCATCATCCTCCCTACCTGGGAAGGTGGAACCCTACAGACATGCACAGGACTCAGCAATTATAATAGCAATTAACTAGAGATAACATATCTGAAGTAACCTAACTATAAACATTTACAGATAACTGCAGTTTTCATTTGCACTTGAGTATTGGAGTATATTTTTAGTCAAGGAATATCTCTTCAGAATTCCTTTCAAAACAATTCCCTTGAAAACATTCTATTTTAACTGCAAATTAAGTCTAATTAAGCAGTTAAGCACTATTCCTAATTATTGTGTTTGGAACTTCTTAAGAACAAGTCAACTGTTCAGGACAGTTGGAAGTACTCTGAATTTTTCTTTATTGCATTAGATGAGATTTAAGAGACTTTCCAGCACTGTATTTCTGAGGTTCAATTAGCGTTTAAATTTGTATTAATGATTTATTCAGCCATTTCTAATGGATTATGTTACAGATGTCTCCCAGCCTACTCCCAAAAATCATTATTTCTGTCATTTGATAATTGTTCAGTAGTGCTGAAAAAAACCATTATGTGTGCACACACACACACAGATACTTTATATACAAAGTCCTATGCTAGAACAATGCTAACACAATTGAAAAGTCAAACTCCAAATTAGGAAATGTTAGAAAGGTCATAAAATTGAATTCAGCATATTTATGTACGCTGTATTTACACCACACTTTCTAATTGCATGGCCCTAAACTATTATTTTCTAAGCAAATAAAGAGTATAAAGACCATTAATAGCTGTATATGGCATTTCAAGACACTAAGAAATATGAGGAAATTAATGATTTTGCCTACATGCTTTGGTGTACGGTAAACAAAGCACAAGCCACAGACTGAACAAGCTAAAAAATAACCATTATTTACTGTACGCATGAGAGATCTGGAAGGAAAAAATAACATGCTACTTTACAATTAAAGACTTTACACACAAGGACTGAAATAATGACTGTTTTTTTCCCCAAAACTTCTGAGTGCTCATGGATAGCTATACACTCAAGAAACAAAACCATTAAATTAAGACAGATTTATAGAGTGTGCTGATACTGAAGTTTTTTCTCAGTCTTCTGAACAAATTTTAAAATACTTTTACAGGAAACACAGAAAGCTAAATTCCTAGTGAAACAAATTGTTACAAAATGTGCTTTACAACAAAATGTTACATTCCCAATTCAATGTTTGAACATTTCAGAGAAAAGGTCGCCAGAATTGTCTAACTTTGGAAAAAAATGTCCACATCTCATTCTGAAAAATGAATTCTATCTCGAGGCAGAGACCCAGCCAATAAAACCTGCTCTCAAACAACTTATGATTAACAAAGGTATAAGGCAGAGAAAATACAATTTTAGACCATATTAATACAATGTTAATAAGAGGTGATCCTCCAGTTTCATCTATATTCTTAACAAAATCTTGTATATGAATGAAAGACCCTTACCAATTAAGATAGATTGTTAGACATTTTAGGTACAAAACCCAATTGCAAGACCTCTTACTTATGTAAGAGGAATACATATGCAAAATCTTCTAGAAATTTAGCAACTGTTTCACTTCCTACCGCTTTTCTTTCACCTTTCATTACTTCTTGAGAGTTCGATTAAGAATGATGTTACAAAGACAGCAGATGATGCAATTATGGGTATACAACTAACTACCTAAATATTTTGTTATTTTATAGCCTTATGCATTATTTTTTTCTCTGAAATGTTCCTTATTTAGATAGTATTTAGGAACTTTAAGAAAACAAAAACGACCATCAGCATTTTCCTGTGTTGCCATTTGATTCTTACAGTTAGCCCATAGCACTTTGCTGGTTGTTTCTGTAAGAACATATGACATTGACACAGTCAAAAGGTATTCTGCTGTGACAAATCCATCTGTTTACAAAAAAGTATATTCTAGTTCCCTTTCCCTGGATATAGTATCGGGGGAGGGATAACCACACAAAAAAACCAACAGCCTTGCTCATGGCTTCAAAGCCACTTTCCAGCTAACTCTGCCCCAGAGGGCTCTCACCAATCCCTCTCCAAAGCATCCTAATCAGTTCCTTCTCTTTTCTCCTTTTTCCTCAGTGGTTATTCTTTATAACACACTCAATATTATAAAAATTACTTGAACTGCAACACTCCATATGAGCCCTCCTGTAAACTCCTTTTATTCTTCTAGAGCTCTTACTCAAATCTACCTGATTGCATGGGCGTTGACTTCCACTTTTTTGTTAACTCAGCCCACTAACATCTTCAATTTGCTTGAACAAACAATGGCTAATAGGACCAAACCTTGACCACCACTGATCCTCAAGTGACCACAAAATATGCATTTGCTGGCATTCATTAACTCCCTTCTTTACAAACTGCAAGTGTTAACTACTTCACTGCAGTACTAATTGAGAGTCTCATAGATTACTACACACATTAAGAAGCATTCCTAGAAAAACTCTATTATTTCTGCCAAGCCTATTTCAGATGATAACATGAAAAATATTTTTTTCAAACAGCATAACAACTATAGGTTTTCAGTTTGATATTACACCACAGAAATTTATGTTCTAAAAACAAATGAAGTTGGCAATACTGTGGCAATTCTCATTTCTAACTGCCAAAATTATCTTTTATGAAACTATTTATCAAAATTTAAATTCCATTTATTAAATTTATCAATAGGTGTGAAGATAATAATGTAATTTTACTTCAACTGTAGATACAAAGTGAAAGAATACTGCAAATGTAGATCCATATACAATTAATTTGTCTGAGATCAATACATTCATTGACTTTGAACAGGTAGACTTCAATGAGTATTGATCTAGATCTGGAAAACGACATTTTTTTATCAAAGTCATGAAAACAGAAGCTATCTGCTAAAAAGCCTAATTGCTATAATTCAATATTGACTAAAATCTCAGACAAGAAGCCTGATCTGAAATTCTAAATAACTTCATGGTATCCTGCAGTTCTGAATGTAGCTCACTGTAAAATAGCACGCTATATACACACGGGTACTGAAGGTAAAGGTAAGTAACTCCTAAATACAAGTGGAAGTCAACAAAGTACTTACCAGACCACAGATGAAGGCCATCAAAACCATAAGAGTACAGGTCGTCACCAACACCATTACCTCCCCATCCCTCTCCACCTCCAGGGTAGGGGGCATAACCTGAAGTAGAGGCCCATCCAACTCGCAAATGGGTGGGTTCTGCCGTCAAGAATGGATCAACCTGATCAATTATTAACTCAAAGTACCACTTCTTGTATTGTGCAGAGCCCTCAGCAACACCTAAAAATATGTTTGGCCTTATGCTAAGAAAGAAAATGTAAGACAGTTAGTGTAAAACATACAATGCGACATACGAATTATATTACTGTATAATAGTCAAATTCACTTCGCAAATATGGTGAGAGTGTAGATGTCCACATTTTGCTTGTAATATTTAAAATAGTGACCCATTTTATAAAGCTGCTGTAAAAATGTCTTCTAAGGTACAGATTCCATGCTTTGAAAAATGTATAGACAAAAGAGGAATAACAAGATCATTTCCTAAAATCAAAACCACAGGAGTGAGGTTGCCATGAAATCAAATCCCTCTTAAAACACACAAGTACTTCACAGTATGTTTACATACTCTGTAGCAATTATTAGGTAAAGCCATGCTCTGTTTTGAATGAGAAACAAGTAACTTTCTTCTTCCCATTTCAGAACAGATCTTACTATTAATTAGCAAATTTCGATTTGAGCACAGTTTCCATTACAATTGTCATACTGTTAGTAAAAATGGTTTTTTCAGAGGTTTATACATAAACACTTCCTAAAGTGTGTGTCTCGATATTAAAATCTATGGAACACCTCTTCATTTACAGTATTTTCTTCAATTAATTATTAAAGACATGCAAATTCCATTTTTTTCTAATATAACAATAAAATGTATCACTGTACCTTGTCACATCATTAATCAAACGTGTTTGCAAGAGCAAGTCTCTTCTAGGCAGCAGATTGTCACAGATCAAATTTTGATTGGCTCGAACTGCAACTCCATTACAGACACAGAGAGAGCAAAGCACATCAAGAACCTTAAAAAAAAATCAGAAGAAAGTTATGTAAAAGCAACTGCATATGCTATTATTTAGTTGTTACCTTAATTTACATTCAGAATAGACCTAAAGCAAGAATAAAATACACATTGTTGTTATTGTTTTCTAAATACTTTTCATGTATATGGACCAAACGAAGTCTGAACTACTGAGAGAGGGTATCAAACATTCATGAAACAAATTTAGAACACAGGGTTTGCAAAATACCTCAAAAAAAAATCTTCCTTTGAGGTTCCATATTCGTATTCATATGAGAAAAAAACCAAAGCTGGAACAGTTGTATGTCAACTTTTTACAATTTTTTAAATTAAATCTCATTAAAAATTAGAAATATAAAATGAAATTCTTTGAGAAACTTACTGCAGCCAAAAAAACTTTGAGCAAAATCAGTGGACAATTCTCAGCTGCAATTCTCAGACTGCTTATGAATCTGTTCTGAATGAATATTTTAAATATGAGAAGTAATCCATTTATTTTTAAAATGAAACATATAAAAGAATTCACTATAAAGCAAAAAAGTGTTTCAGAAAGATCTTATTCTAAAATTTCAGCTTTCTTTTTTTGGTCACTCTGAAAAGTGAAAGAGATTGACAAAATTGTCCCACAGATTATTGGAGCAAAAGGTTTTGGAAGAGAGAACACAGTAACACAGTGTTGTTTAAAGCTGAGGGACAAAGATGCACAGTTTTGCAAAAAAACTAGAGAAGCTTAAAGATGCACCTGTTCTCTGAAAAGGAATCACTGAACCCAAATAGTCTAAACTCTTACAAACCATTTCCAAGACAAAGCACCATCTTCACACTATTGATTACCATTTTGGAAATTGGTACAACACATGGAGCAGCAAAACAGAACACTTATTTTAGCTAATCCTGTTCTCTGCCCAGTGAATTAGCACAAAACCACCCTCAAAAGCAGTTTAGAATAATATATTGTGAACTTTGCTAAGTCCCAGACTATGCATTTTTCTTTCCACTATCTCTGCTATTGGGCAGAAACCTCTAGCAGAGGAATCAAGGCACTAACTTACATAGCTGCAGAAACTCTGACTAGTACTCAGCTATAAATTTTCCTAATGAGAAACAGTAACTCAGAAACTACATATAAACGTCTTCAATAATCTGTAGGCACCCACTGACCATATTTCTGACATTAAAAAAATCCTTCAAATCAACAACAATATTACTGTTTCTTATTTCCTAAATCACAACAGAATGTCTAATCTAGCAAAAGAAAAAGATACACTGCTTCCTGAATAACAAATAAATTTTTTACTTCACATTATTTCTTTACTTACTGACGTTTAGTCAGAGACATTACAAATAGAAATGCACAAATATTTTACACAGTTGAATTCTTCTCCTGTATAAAACATTTGCCTTTTCTGCTTGAAGTTCTCACTATGAGGTGAGATGCTCCAGCTGAAAGGTTCTCTTTGTAGGTGACTGGCACAGCACATTAATCTTGCTAACAGCTAAAAATAGCAAGCCAAACTTAGTGCTGTAATTTCATTTTTCTTATGTCTACTTATATTAGTTTATACTCTTTAATCGTTCTCGTGGTTTAAGGCCGAGCCAGCAAATAAGCACGGGAGAGCCACTTGCTCACTCCTCCCCTCCCTCACAACAGGATGGGGAGTAGAATCAGAAGAAAAAAGGTAAAACCTCATGGGCTGAGGCAAGGACAGGGAGGGATCACTCACCAATTATGGTCAAGGGCAAAACTTAGGGAAAAAATAAATTTAATTAGTTACCAATCAAATCAGACTAGGATAATGCGAAAAAAACACAAATCTTAAAAACACCTTCCCCCCGCCCCTTCCTTCTTCCCAAGCTCAACTTTGCTCCTGATTTCTCTACCTTCTCCCTGTCAGCGGTGCAGGGGGATGGGGAATGGAGAATAGGGGCTGCAGCCAGTTCATCACACATTTCTGCCGTTCCTTCCTCCTCAGGCAGAGGGGTCCTCACATTCTTCCCCTACTCCAGCGTGGGTCCCTCCCATGGGGTGCAGTCCTTCAGGAACAGACTGCTCCAGCACAAGCTTCCCATGGAGTCACGGCCTCCTTCAGGCACATCCACCTGCTCCAGTGTAGGGTCCTCCCCGGGCTGCAGATGTAGCTCTGCTCCACTGCTGCTTCACCATGATCACCATGGGCTGCAGGGGAATCTGTGCTCTGGTACCTCCCTTCCCCCTACTTTCCTCACTGACTGTGGAGTCTGTGTAGCTGTTTCGCTCACACCCCACTCCTCTCTCTGCTGCAGGTTCTCAGCAGCATTCTTTTTTTCCCCTCTTAAATATGTTATCCCAGAGGCACTCCCTCCATTGCTGACAGGCTCGGCCTTGGCCAGAGGTGGGTCCAACCTGCAGCCAGGGAAGCTTCCAGCAGCTTCTCAGAGGCCACCCCTGTAGCCCCCTACTTGAGCTACCAAAACCCCACCCCACAAACCCAGTACGACCATGCTTAAAAATACTTGTCTCTTTTTCTGCATCCCCTGTAAATCAGGAATTTCAGCTCACTAAAACTTTCTCTGTTCTTCCTCACTGACATCAGAAAAATCACACATAAAACTATATTCTCCTCTGTGTTGTCATCCTGATTGCAGACAGAAACTGTGTTCACCTTCTTCTGTCATAATAAATAATAAATTGCACACCAATTATCTAATTACCACCATTATTTCTTCAGGTATTACTTGGGTTTTTTTCCTTCTTCTGAACACCAGTGTTTTCAGATATTTGGATTATTTTTCTAATTTCTCATTTTGTTTTTTTTTTTCTTTTCTGTTACTATTATTATCACTCAAGTTAGGAATTATTTTGCAGGATTTAGTTCTGTCTTTCTGCAGATATAACTATAGTAGTTCATTGCTTCTGCAGAGCTCTTCATTGGGCAAAGCAAGCTAGTCTGCTCACATGCTTACCGCCACCAGAACATTTAATTTTCTCAGCAAATACAAACTTCTGACTGGCTATCAATATTTCTTAACTATTTGCTTGTCATACATATGGGCTGTATTTGAAACTGAAAAGCAACTATATATTACACATTTTTTAATCTCAACAAAGCAATTTTTCAGATGTACTTCAAGGTTATTTTATTCTTTTAAATGTACTAGAATCACATACTTCCCATGTAGACATTTCTCAGTTGTTTTTTACCACAAATCATTGTAAGATTATCACTACATCCTTAGTTTTTCCAAACATACCTTGTAATTGCGCCCATGTTTATCCAACAATGAAATAATGGATTTTATGTGCTCCTCAGCTATTATATTTAAAGCTTCTGGGCTTTCAATCAAGATGCAGTGCAACACTTCCAAAATACCTGTATGAAGGCCACAGAAATAATGTTGTAATTAATGCATCTGTACAAATTAACACAAACAAAAAGCTCCGTAAACAACAGAGTGTTTTAAGAGACGCTATATTTTCTTCAGCCTAAAAAGAGAATGAAAGCACTTCTAAAGAGTATTGATATGCTATGATGTGAACAACATTAGATGTAAATGCATTATGAAGCTGTTAATTTCTGTTTTATTTTGAAAATAAGCACAATTTTAAAACCACTTAAAAAAATGCAAGTTTAGCTCCTTCTTTTCGATGACAGAGATAAAGGTTTTATTAGAGAGCACCGTATAGTATTTTTATATTTTGTTGAACACCCCATAGTGGAAAAAAACCTTCTCTTTCTATACGTGTTATTTGTACTTGTGCCCACAAATAACTCTGGCGTTATTCCATAGCAAAGGGACAGTAGTCTTGACAATGTCTGACCCAATCCATTAATTCACTGAAGTCATGTTCAGCAGTAATTTGATCTGGTATTGCACATACCAAATGTATGCAATCAAAAAATGCCACAAAAATGTTTATTTAAATATAATACTTAGATCAAATTTTGAAAAGGCAGTATATTTGTTTTCTAATGCATGTCATTTTTAAGGAAAACTGCTCTAACATTTGTAATGTAAGACAGCTGTGTGTGGTGTATTGGTAGTTAAGTTACACTGATTATAGTGAGTCTCACCTGAGGAGGATTCTAATCTGTCCAATTTACTTATTAGCCAGTCGAGGTTACTGGAAAACTGAGCACAATTGTTTCTGTTGCCACGAATGAGAGCAGCTGGAAAAAACCCAGAAGGTATAATCTTATAACAGATTTCCTTTTTAAAACTGCCATGTTAATCATATATGTTTTAACACAATTTTTATAACAACTTCACAAAATAATAAATAGATGAATTATAAGTACACATTTTACGGTAACAAAGAATTAAGACTTTCATTAATTTGAATATCAGCAACTGACTAATTCTCAAGAGCAGGTAGTTTTTTAAGTTGTCAGGGGTCTACTGGATAAACAAGAATTTCAGCAAAAAATATATTTTATGTTTTATTTTATTGTTAAAGTTAAATGGAAATTATCCACCACCCTTGTTTGATGCAAATGTCAAGCACTGTCATGATCAAGAGGTTGAAAAATTTCTTCTATATTTCCTACCAATGAGAGGGAAGGTCATATGCAGAATTTTAAGCTCAACTGCAGGCTGGGTACTGCTCTTTAGCTCTACCTTCTGAATAAAATATGTTATAGAATGGATAGCTTCTAGTCTTCAGCAGTGCAGAACATAATGTTATTTGACTGCACTTTGAAAGTTCATCAGCATTGAAGTATTTCAAGCAATACTGATTTTTTTTCTTCCACAAGTTATTACTGATTGTAAAAACAACAACAACAACAAAAAAAGCCTTTGTCAAGGATTTTTGTTATCAAGTGTTAACTTAATATTTACTACATCAGAACAAGTGTGTTCAAGATGTACCTGCAAAAGAAAATCAATACGAAATCTGAAAAGGCCTGTGTAGCACTAAAGAAGGTTTTTTCATTGTACCATTCTTTAAACTAATAAGACTGTAGTAAAATGCAGGCAATGGTATCTCTTTACTTTCTAAAGCAATTAAAAGATTTCACAAGAAGCATCTGCATGTCTGTGATACGTGAATAACCTCATGCTTCAAAGTACTCCCCCTGGTTTGTTTTACTCCTGTCCTAACTCTCAACTTGCATAATTTACTATGGTTCAGGACCAACCTTCCTTGTAATGAAACTAGAATGTATTTGAATTCCATCAGAAGACAAGATTCTCCTATATGTGGAATTATGCAACTCAGATATAAAATTAGTGATTTAAAGAAATAAACATATACATACTTCTACTCTATCAGTTTGGCCCTACAACACAGAAGCAGTTCACTCTAGAAGAATGGCACTGAAATTAAAAAAAAATTTTAATTTCTGTTTTATGTAATTATTTTTTTAATAATTAAATCTAAGTCTCAAGTAACAAACATGGATTCAGTAGACCTACAGGTTCTGACTATTACTTTTAGGCTTCTGTTCAGCTTCATGCATAAGGGCTATTTTACAGTTTTTCTAATTTTTAAAATAATAATTCACACCTATTTGCATAGCCCAGGTACATTTATTTAATAATTAAAATCAGAGATAGGCATTTGGTATGCTGCACCAATCTTTTTCCTAGCTGAGATTTATTTTCCTGCTGTATCATTGCTCAATAAACTCTCTTCTCTGTAATAAATATCAGTAAGTATACGGAAGAAATTCTGTAATTTACATGACAGAATGAATAACACACAATGTATTCTTAGGTGGTGAAGCAGCAAGTACAATAAGAAGAATACATATCCTGTTTTTTTATATTAGTAGATTATTGAAGAACTTACCTAACAATTCGTAAAGGAGATTCAAAATTTCTTTCCATGCTGTACCATGTTCTTCTCTTGCAATTCCTGCAAAATGAGCTGAGCTGTTGTAGTCATTTAAGCGATCAATGCAATTCAAAACCAGTGCCAGCATTCCCTAAATGCAGATGACAGAGAAGAAAGCCAACTGTACATGAAAAAGCATTTGCTGTTATCCTTTTAAAAGGTTAAAAAAACCCAAAGTATTGTATTTACAAGATTTGAACATGTATTTTTCTATATCAAAATGATGCATTTCAGAGAATCATTCTATACTGTCCCTTATTCAGCTAAGTATCAAAAAGTAAGGAATAAAAAAAAGCTGACAATAAAAGCTTTTGTAATTTTTGTGAATAGACTGTTTTTTACTTAAAATCTTCCTTACATATGAAAAGAACACTTTAAATTGACACACAAAGGAATTTTTGTTGATTAAAAAGGTCAAAATTTTACTGTCCAATTAAATATCTGTAAAACAAACAAGTTCAGATACCAGAATAGATTTTTACCTTCAAGTTTGATTGGAGACTAAAATGGTACTGAAAACCTGCAAGCAATCCAAACATCTAAAAGCATTGTAAAATATGTTTCCTATTTACACAGAAGTGTAACTACTCCATTTTCAGAGAGGAGCAATTCTACAATTATGTAACACATATGTATCCTCTTTAAAACTAACATTCTTTCAGTTTCTAGAGATAAAAAGTTCCTGTTTCACACACTGGTGGACAGACAAGACATCAGAAATAACATCTATTATTGCTCCAAGTTTTATTATTCATTTGGAGTATCCTGAATGTACAGGCAGTGAAAAGTAGGTATCAGCTATGGAACTGTACATTTTAAATCATATGCATGTATCTAGATGATAATGCTTAGGTTCTTCTTAATGCTTGTGACATGATACACTTAAAATTAATATAACAGTTCCTCTCTCTGTACCTCTTCTTTGAATAGATTTTGTCTGTTTTTGAGTGACCGAAGCTTGCTTTGCTTATCTTCATGTTCCAGGTCTTCTTCAGGAAGCTGGAAGTAAGTAATTAGATCTTGCAGAGTCTGAGCCATCTCCTCAACAGGCAGGGCAGTGGGTAACAGTGTTCTGTTGTTTCCACTATGGAAAACAATGAGAAAGACTGGTAGCATTTTTCATTTTCACACTGTAATCTAGAGTATTATGTAGCAGCTTATTTTCTATTGATATCTAAAATAAGTCTTGTTATACATGTGATGTGTATATGAGCAACAACTGATCTGAACTGCAAATCATTCAAACATGTATTGTTTGAGTGTCCAGTGCCCAGAGCTTCCTGAACTGGAATCCTGTTTCCCTTTCTGCACTGATGCAAAGAGAGAGAATGATTAAAAAAACTGAAAAACTAAGCAGAAGAAAAAATATAAATCAGCAAAAAGAGGAAAGAGAGATGAAAGATGTACCAAAGTCCCTTCTTATGGTAATTAATTTTGTCTAGATACTTTAAATCCTGTTGATGATACAGGTGTAATCTGCAGATGGACTAAAATAGTAGCAGTTATTGAGGCCATACACCCCCAGTCTTCCAGACCAAGAACACAAAAATAACAGGTAATCCTAACCATTAATTAGGTCTTCTGTGTAAATGCTATATCAGAAATAAAGGACAGGATTTTAAAATAGTTATCAGCAAAATAATGCCTCCTTCCTTTTCAAGCATTTGGGTGACAACCCAATTTTTCAGGGTCTGACTCACTATTATAAATAGTATCATCTGGGAGGAGCTGATAGCTGGCAGAGGTGGCTCTGGTTTTATATCCTCAGCACATGAAATACAAAGGAGTAGTGTAGTCCCTTGTGATACTGAAGAAGTCATGTTTTAAATGCAGTTTCACATGATTGGTTCTGTGGAAGCAAATTCTTAATTATAAACTCATTTTTCTTTATTTTTCCATTTATTAGGTAGTAATACAAGGATGATCACTTGATCATCATTAACATTTCTGCCAAGCACTATGAAAAAATAGTTTCTTCAGTACTACATACATTCTTCCTGATTTCATTGTGTATTCTTATATGTTGATCTCAACAATTATAAATGAATATGCACTGACACTGAATTGTATTTTGCCCTAAAAATCTTCAAAAACATATTGTATAGAAGAGCTACAGTGAAGAAAACCTGTAATTTTCACTGAATTGAAGATTTTTGTCTTGCTGCTTGTTAAAGATCTATTATTCTGTAAGTTCAGTAATGTAAGAAAATGTCATGAACAATTTAATTTGAAGAATGAGGGAAAGGAAACAAAAGCAACAAAAGAAACAGCATATCAAAATTATACTTCAAAATGCCCCATATTTTCAAACTAACATAGTATTATTCAAAAAGTCACATACAACCACATATATAAGACAGTTTTCATGATACTTTCCTTCACTATCTGAATACTAAAGCCCTCATCAGAACAATCAGTTTAGAACTATTTTCAAGTCTCAAACCTACTGGTAACTAAGGTCTGTCAAAATTAAGCTAAACTAAGTGACAGAAAACATTCTGAACAGTTTTGCACAAATTGACAAGACAGGTGATATATAGCGCTAGAATAAACCTTTTTAAGCACAATATATACTTCAAGAGGACTGGAAAAAATTAAGCTGAAGTGAGTGCATTAATATGGTGAAAGCAAGTCAAATTTTGATTCAGAAAATCTCTTTCATAAATAATACTGTTTAAATATAGGCTTGAATCCAGAAAACCAAACTAGGGATGAAATGTGATAAAGACAGTGTCTTTTCATGCTCATTTTGTCAATGGTTCACTATGATTGAACATCTCCTGAGGACACAAGGTCCCTTCAGCCAGCAATACACAAATTTAAATAAACTGCTTTAAATTATATTCATGTCCAACATATTTGTTTTGCTATTGGCCAAGATTGTATTTCTCCATGAAAATAAAAGTATTACGTTACCACGTGTGGCAATGATACTAGGCAACTACTTAACAAGTACAGCTTTTCATATAACCTTCTCAATAAATCAAGACAATGACAGAGCAAGTCTGTTGTCATATTAAATTGTTTAATTTCCCTGACTTTCTAATATCTTTTGTAGAGTTCACTCAATGCTTAGGGTACTCACAGACTGCACGTTTCACAATGCCCAGGTATCCAATGGCTTTGGTGTTTTGATGTGTGTAAATAGCCATCACTGTTTTCAAATTAGTTTTTGAGTTCTGTTATATAGTTAGTGGAACACCCGAATCCTGGCTAATTCTTACTGCAGTATAATTACTACTGCATTGCCCTCTCGTACAGCAAAGATTTGGAAGATAAATACTAGGCAGAAGGTAACTTTATTGCTTCTGTTCTAAAGTCTCAGAATCACAACTTGAATTATTCCTTAAAATCAGATGTCTGATGTCAGATGTCACTGTCTCTCTGCTGAGATGCTGATACTGACTTTGAATACTGTTCTGGTTTCAGCCAAGATAGAGTTAACTTTCTTCATAGTAGCTAATGAGAGGCTGTTTTGGATTTGTGCTGAGAAGAAGGCTGATAACATACTGACGTTTATAGTTGCTGCCAGGACAGTCAAGGACTTTCCAGCTCCTCTGCTCTGCCAGTGTCTGCAGGTGCAGGAGAAGCTGGGAGGGAGCAGAGCCCAATTACTAGCCTAGGATTCAGTCTTAGGTTTAGGATTGAGACCCAAATTGGCCAATAGTCTAATTCCATATCATGCTTGTCATGCCCAGTATATAGGTAAGGATCTATGTGGAAGCTCATTCTCTTGCTTCCGGTCATCTCATTCTGGGTGATCCCTCTCCCAGGGTCATCTCCCTCCCTCGGTCAGCTCTCTGTCTGGGACACTCCGGCTCTTATCTCTGCTCCAGGAGTGTGGTTTTGGGACTCTCCCTGTTCCAGGACAGTTAGCTGGGATTAGGCTGAGCCTTGGTCATCGGGTGGTGAGCAGTATCACTGTGTATCACTCGTTTGTATATTTGTATATATTACTATTATTATCATAATTACTATTATTTACAATATTATTGTAGCTTAGTTATTAAATTGTTCTTATCTCAACCCACAAGTCTTTTTTTCCCTTTACCCCTTTAATTATCTCCCCTGTCCCAGGCAGTGGGGGAGAGGGAGGGTGAACGAGTGGTTGTTGTGTAAAACCATCACAAATACCCATAAGGCCATTCCACTGCAAATAAACATGTTGGTTTAAACAGATCTAGGAATGCTCACATAATAATTTAGCTGAGAGACAGAAGTTAAGAAGTTGTTCTTTTTACCTTCAGCTGACAGTTAGCCTTCTCTCCTACTGTTGTTACTGCACATAATCTATTATACTGCATACAGTTTATCAGTGAGGATTGCCTCTCCTCTGATCTTTAAGTCTTCCAGATACGATCAGAGGAATGACAGAGAAGCATGAGGACCAACAGGATGGGTGATTAAAAAGGTACAAGTAAAATGTTTCAGCCCAGATTTTGAAGGCAGTAAATGGGTATTTATCTCCCAGACACGCAGAAATCTATTTTGTACTTCCTTTTATTGTTTATTTGTATGAACTTGGGGCTGATATGGTTTTTCATTGTATTTTTGATCTAAACAGTATTAGGCACCAATATTCCTTCCAACTAGTTTGATAAATTTGAATAGAGTTAGATATAATATTTGGTCTACCAAGAAAAATAGAAAAATAGGAACCTTTTAATGAATATTGTGAAGTTCTAGCTACTGGAAAATACTTACTAATGGAGTTACGCTGAGATCATTTAGCATGTTTTCTTCAACCTGGATTATGATCCACTTTGCTTCTGGCTTCAAGGTATTAGATTTCATGTAAACAACCTTACATAAGCGGTTTTATCTTTTTAATGCCATTACTCATAAAAATTACAAACTTAAGTCAGGAAAAAATATATTGCTAATAGCTTCTAAATACAAGTACTCGAAAGCAGGAAGTAAGGATTCTTTTAGATAAATTTTTCTTATTTCAGAATCCTTTAAAAAACAAACAAACAAAAAAAGATTGTACATAAGATGGTAACAAATACCTTAGAAACTGGCTGAATAAGCTTGTAGTATTGCGAATGATTCGAGCAGCCTGGGATTCCTCATGCTGACATCTTTGTAAGGTTAGACCATCATCCATATGGCCTTCTTGGTGTAATATAACCTATTGAAGTCAGTAATTATCACAACAATTACTAATAAACCATTGTGCTTCTAAATATTTTGTAACATTCCAATATTGCACTGAAAACAGTAATTGCACATATACTGAGCTAATACTTGTTAATCACTTGATCTGAACACATTTATTAATTAATTACAAATTTGTCAGTCTAACACAGAAGTTATTAAAATAAAATATTTTAATGTACCTTTATTCTCTAAACACATATGCTTATCAAATATTTTCCAATTGAGACAAAAGATTTAATTCTCTCTGTATTCTGCCTGACAGGGAAA